GGCCCAGGGCGGAGCTGCGGGCGCGGGTCCTCAGCGCGGAGGAGGAGCGGAGGCTGCGGGGCCACGGCGCGCTGGTGTCCGACTTCCGGCAGCAGAAGCTGGAGAGGGAGGCCCGGAGGAACTGGGACCTTTTCTACAAAAGGAACCGCACGCGCTTCTTCAAGGACAGGCACTGGACCGCCAGGGAGTTCGGGGAGCTGAGGGCGTGCCGGCAGGTGAGCCGAAGGCCCGGGGCGCAGACCTGGGGGAGGGAGACTGGTCTCGAGGACCCCTCGCGGGCTTCTGGCGTGTGGTCTGTGCCGTTGACCTTTCTGCTTCGCGGCGGGTCTCGGGCTCCCAGGCGGGGGCCACGCGGCCTCGATCTCCTGGGCCCTCCTGGGCTCGGGCGATCCTTCTGCCTCGGCCTCGTGGGTTGCTGGGACTACAGTCCCCCACCACGCCCGGCGCTCCGGTGTGTTTCCTACGTGGGAGTGAGGATTTTTTTCTTCGGTTGGGATCTCCGTCCGTCGCCCAGGCTGGAGTGCAGCAGCACCGTCACGGTCACCCAGCGTCGACTGCTGGGCGCAGGTGATCCTTGCGCCTCAGCCTTCCTAGCAGCCAGAACTGCAGCCGGGCGCGACCACGCCCGGCTACATTTCGATTTATTGTAGAGACAGGATCTCACCAAGTTGCCTGGGCTTGTCTCCAACCTGAGGGCTCAGGGAGTCCACTCACCTCGGCCTCCCAAAGTGCAGGGGTGGCAGGCGGAGCCACCGAGCCCGGCCAGGAGGCAGAACTTTAATGGCTGTTTTCTATTTGTTGAAGACAGATCTGAAAATCATATACATTACATTCAATTGCCAGGCATTGTGGCTGCCCTTGTAGTAGTAGTCTCAGCTACTTGGGAGGGTTGCTTGAGTCCAGGAGTTCGAGGCCGTCGTCTTCTATGAATGTGTCTGTGAATACCGACAGCACTCTGGCCTGGGCAACATAGTAAGGCACTGTCTTTTCAACTTAAGACACATAAAAAACAAAAATTCATGCGGAGTGACTTCAGTGACAGAGTCAAAATAATACTTGTTAATGTTGGTGACCCTTTTGTAAGGACTTTATCTGTTCTCTCTTGTCATGTGTATGAAGTATTAACATTACCCCCGTTTGCAGGTAAACTGAGGCACAGAGCTGTGTGAGTGAGTTGCCTGGGGTGAGGTGCAGGGCAGGGAGGAGCCGAGCAGGTGGGTCACTCCAGGGCCTGTTTAGGGGCCAGTGTGCTGGGCTTTTCCTTCACACCAAACTGCCTGATGTGGGTGACAGTGAAGCTCTGGTATTCGTCCTGCTTGTCAGTTCATGTGTTCACGTCTGCTCCGTGGAGTCAGAGACTGTGTCTCATGCCTGGTCTCTCGAGTCTGGTTTCTTCATTGTGCAAATTGCCATTCTGTAATTCTGGGCTCTCTTTCCCCAGTTTGAAGATCAAAAGCTGACAATTCTTGAAGCTGGCTGTGGGGTTGGAAACTGTTTGTTCCCGCTTCTAGAGGAAGACCCGAATATCTTTGCCTACGCCTGCGATTTCTCCCCAAGGGCAGTTGAATATGTCAAGGTTGGTGCACCACCCAGGTACTCTGGTATGTTGCGGTCTGCTTAGACGTGTTTGACCTGCCCTCTGCCCCGTCGGCCCAGTTCCAGTGCTCCTTGGAGATAGCAGTGGTCACCATGAATGCAGTTTTCCTGTTACCGTACAGGAACTCAGCTTTATTTGAGAAAAGTAGGCGGGAAGTACCATCACCATCAGGATACCTGTTTGTTTAGGTCTTCTTGCTTTGTGTGTTTTTCTTTGCTGAACTATTTTAAAGTTACATAGATCAAGATATTTCATTCCTAAATACGTCTGCATCTATTTTTTTAAAAAATAAGGACTGGGCATGGTGGCTCACACATGTAATCCCAGCACTTTGGGAGGCCAAGGCCGAAGGATTACTTGAGCCCAGGATTTGAGACTAACCTGGGCAATACAGTGAGACCTTGCCTCTGCAAAAAAATTAAAAAATTAGCCAGGCCTGTTGGTGCATGTCTGTAGTTTCAGCTACTTGGGAAGCTGAGGCAGGAAGATTGCTTGAACCTAGGAATTGGAAGCTGCAGAGAGCTGTGATTGTGTCACTGTACTTGAGCCTGGGTGACAGGTGAGACCCTGACTCAAAAAACAAAACAAACACAAAGACCTTTTTCTGCACTACCACAAAAAGTTTATCATGTTTAACAAAAAGTAACTGTAACCCCCAAGGTCATTAATACCCATTCTAGATTCAATGAGTTTCTTCTTTCCATCAGGGACCAGTTTCGTTGAAGACAATTTTTCCATGAAGGCGGAGTGCAGTCAAACCTCACTGCTCATGTTGGGAGGCTGAGGTGAGAAGATTGCCTGAGGCTGCAAGTTTGAGACCAGCCTGGGCAATATGGTAAGACCTCATCTCCACAATAAATCAAAAAATTAGCCAGGTATGGTGGTGTGTGTCTATCATTCCAATTCCTTGGACGGCTGATGCGGAAAGATCGCCTGAGCCCAGCAGGTCGAGGCTGCAGTGGCTGGGAGCATGCTACTGCCCTCCAGCCTGGGTGAGAGTGGGACTCCAACTCAAAAAAAAATTTAATAGATAAATGCCAAGTTTTCTTCCAAAAGGATCATACCAGTTTGTAATTTCAACAATATAACAATACCTTTTTCTGTTCTCTGGTCATTTTGTGTCAGCCTTTTTTGTATTTACCAATTTCGTGGGCAAAAAATAGTGTCTTCTTATTTTAACTTGTTTTTTCTTATTGCTAGAGATGTTGGTGACCTTGAAACATGTCATAATACAGGACACTCAAATCATAATAGAAACCGTCAGCTCATAACCTTTGCCGATTTTTCTACTGACTTACCGTTTTTTTGTTTTGTTTTTGTTTTGAGTTGAAGCCTCACTCTGTCGCCCAGACTGGAGTGCAGTAGCCAGCCGCTCCCGGCCACCACAGCCTCAGCCTGCTGGGCTCTGGCAATCCTTCCGCCTCAGCCTTCCAAATAGCCGGAACTACAGGCACACACTACCACGCCCAGCTAATTTTTAATTTATTGTAGAGATGAGGTCTCACCAAGTTACCCAGGCAGGTCTCCAACCCCTGGGCTCAGGCAGTCCACTCTCCTCGGCCTCCCAGAGCGCTGGGATTACAGGCTGAGCCACCGAGCCCGGCCAGGCTCACCTTTCACTACTACGTCGTTCTGTGCACGTCAGCTTGGTGGCTCCTTAAAATTCATTTGTGATTCCCCTCCTCTAGCAAAATCCCTTATACGACCCAGGAAGGTGCCGGGTCTTCCAGTGTGATCTGACGTGTGACGACCTTCTAGACCACGTCCCTCCAGAGTCCGTGGACGTCGTCCTGCTGATATTTGTGCTCTCCGCCATCCATCCTGAGAAAATGCCCCTTGTCTTACAGAACATCTGCAAGGTCAGTGGCTTGCCTGCGCTGAGGGCGGGATGGCCCCCGGCCCTCTTGCTGACTGCCCCAGGTCACGCCCTGTGGAGACTCGCCCGTCTCGCCTGGCAGGAAAGGGGATCTCTGCACACGTCGTCAGCCCTGAGTTCTGACTGCAGCCGTGGCTCCTCCGCAGAGCGTGGCCAGCTCTGCAGCAGGGATGATTTTGCCGTCACCTAGGGTCCGAGGGGTCCTGTTGCAGGGGAGAGGAGGTGTGGTTCAGCAGTCGGGGCACACAGCGTGGCATCAGTGCCTGGCTCCAAACCCAGCTTCATCGCTTAGACACGCTCCTTCCTGTCTCAGCCTGTTTCCTTACCTGTAGGATGTTTATAACTCTTAGCACAGTGCTGTTTAAAAGTCAGTCGTTATCACTGTTACTACCATCGTAGCTGTGATTAGACTGGCTCTCTCAGGTTGCTATGGCCACTAAGAGGCTGCGTCAGCACCAGGACTCTTAAGTCATGTGACTCAAGGCAAGCCTCAGTCCTTGCTGTCTAATGCGGTGTCTCTCACCCTGATTGTGTGACACAGAAGAGATCATGTATCTCAGAGCACTAAGAAGTGGCACATTCTTGAACATTTTACAACATGGGATATGTAAATGTTTAGTTAGTCATTGCTTCCTGGATGCAGGGCCAAGGCCTTCCCTTTGAGAATGGGGCTGTTGGTCCACGTTCTTGCATAAACACGTAGTTTCTAGAGTTTGGGTTTCTGTCGTGGTGGAGCAAGAACTTAAAAACTGTCGTACAGTCATCTAGGCAAATTCACCCAGACTCTCACAGTTGAGTCTCACACTCATTAAAAACAGTGTATGCAGCAACTCTTTATCAAGCCCTTCCAAAATATTCAGCTTTTCATGGAAACTTAAAAGGCTTTTTATTCATGTGCATGTGTCATTATTCAACACCCTTTTGATTAAAGTGTATAATTATGCACAACTGGCATCGCCATGTTTGGGAATGCAGACCTGTGGCTGATGGTGAGCGTGCGGCCCTGCTGAGGGCACTGAGTTCAAGGCCCAGGCTCTGGAAGGCGCGCGTGCCTCACCCATCGGTGCTCTTACAGGAGGAGGCGCTCAACAAGTTAGGAAATAGATGTCCACTAAGAGAGCTCCTGGGTACTTTGTGCTACATGTTGACATTTCACCTTGGTTTTCGTTGTTTCAAAATAAGTGATGTAGAAATTTTAAGACACTGGAAACCTCTTAGGGAATTATTCTGCCTTAAAACAAAACTTGGGAGGTGGGCACAGTGGCTCACAGCTATAATCCTAGCATTTTAGGTGGTCAAGGCCCGAGGCCTGCTTGAGCCCAGGAGTTCAAGACCAACCTAGGCAACAGTGAGACCTTGACTCTACAAAGAAGCAAAATATAGGCTGGGCGTGGTGGCACATTCCTGTAATACCAGCTGCCTGGGAGGCTGAAGCAAGAGGATTGCCTAAGCCCAGCAGTGTGAGACTGTGGTGAATCATGATTGTGCCACTGTCCTCCAGCCTGGGTGACAGCAAGACTCCAACTCAAAAGGAAAAAAATATATATATATATATATATTTCTGGCTTGGTGTGGTGGCTCATGCCTATAATCATAACACTTTGGAGCCTGAGGTGGGAGGATTGCTGGGGCCCAGGAGTTTTGAGACCAGCCTGGACAACATAGGGAGGCCTCGTCTCTACAAAAAAAAAAAAAAAAATCAGCCGGACATGGTGGTGCGTGTAGTCCCAGCTACTCAGGAGACAGATGGGAGGTCGAGGCTGCAGTGTGCTGGGATCACACCACTGTACACAGCCTGGGTATCAGATTGAGACCCTGTCTCAAAAAAACGAATAAAAACAATATTGTTAGAGTTTGGGTCTTGCCACACTGGGTTTAGACCTCTGCTCGTGAGGTGTGTAGGTTTGTTTCTCCATATTTCTACTGTCTCTGGACCGATGCTTGAGTGATAACCCAGCATACTCCACAAAAGAACATGGAAGGATGAAACAAAAATAGATCAAATTTGTCATCAGAAGACTTGTATTTCAGGCCAGGCTCGGTGGTGGGCGGCTCATGCCTATAATTCCAGCAGTTTGAGAGGCAGAGGCGAGAGAATCGCTTGAGTCCATACATTCAGGACTAGCCTGGGCAACATAGCGAGACCCTGACTCTATTAAAAATGAAAAAAGAAGACTTGAGCAGTGGTCTTTCCTGTGCCGCTGACATGCCCTAAGGCCTCAGGAAAAAAGTTGCCTTTACTGGGAGCTTGACTTGTAAGACGCACCTGGGACCTCGCCTGCACACTTCTCGGAGTTGCTGGGAGACGTGGGGAAGTGCCAGGTTAACTGTACATGTTCATGGTCTTGGTGTCGAAATTATTATTTAACAGGCAAGAAAACGTCTTCACAGGGATGAAATACTTGCCCAGGGTCATTCCACTTGTTAATGGAAGAACCGGGACTTGAATCAGGGCTTACTGAGTCCTGAGTATCTCGTCCACACCCCCATGCAACCTTTCCTTCCTTGTGAAATGAAGTCTTCATTATTTACATTTTAAGACTTAGCACTTCTGACTAAAATAAGACTGTGGTTTCTCACAGGCTCTTTACTCCCAGCGTTTAATTTAAATGCATGCCAGTACTGGTACAGTTTTACCAGGGTAGAACACTTGCTGGCACCCCAACAAGCTTGTGGGCTGTCTTCTGCTCTATTCAGGAAGAGGAAATACATTAAACTGCATTTGGAGAAGTGGGTGGCACATCACGTACTTTCCTAAGGGGAGAGAAATAGGTGGCATGTGTCCATTTAACAGTAAATGTCTTCAAATCCACCTTGTTGGAGTGATGGGTCAGAATGATGAGCTAATCAAAGGAATGCCTTCTTTGAAGTCTCCTCTCATCTGGTGTGTTGCACGATCTGAAGGAAGGTTCACATAAAAAGCAGGTGTCACGGCATGCACCTGTTTTCCTTCTGAAAAGCATGTGGCTGTTTGTAAGGGAGGGCAGTTGTGCCCACACCCTGCTGGTCTTGGGTGAGTTTTGAGACCTCTCTTTCTGACACCTCATCTCTGAGAGGCTCTGTGTGGGTCTCAGCACCTCTCCTGACTCTGGTCTCTTTCAACAATTGCCCTCTGGCCAGAGGACCCTGTCCTCATGTCAGAAGGCCCTGCACGTGTGGGAAGTGACCTGACAGCTGTCCCTCTGCTGAGCCTGCCTCCATGTCCCTCGTGTGCATGGAGTGACTCCTGCCCACCCCACCCCAGGGCTGACGAAAGTCTGATTCTGTGGTGGGAGTCCTTTGGCCCAGGTGTGAGTCCTGTCCCCCTGTCCCCACACTCACTAGCTGGCATGTGACACTGGCAGGTCCCGGGAGCTTTTCCGTGTCGGTTTCCTCATCTCACAGGAAGATGGTGGTCACGCTCCCTCCTCTCAGGACTGGGTGCAGACACTGTGGGAGGACGCCTGGCAGGCAGTGGAGTGCTGGGCCTGCGTCTCTTGCCAGCATGGTGAACGAGGTGCTGTGGTGCGGCGAGCCAGAACTGAGGCTCGAGTGAGGAGAAGCACCGGACAGGAAGACGCCACATGATGTCCAGGTTTTTTTATTTTTTTTTATTTTTGAGTTGGAGTCTCCCTCGGTCGCCCAGACTGGAGTGCAGTGGCTGCTCCCGGCCACCGCAGCCCCGGCCTGCTGGGCTCTGGCGATCCTTCCACCTCAGCCTTCCCAGTAGCTGGAACTACATTTTAAGACTACATTTTAAGACCCACGTGCTACCACACCCGGCTAATTTTTTTTGATTTTTTTATTGTAGAGATGAGGTCTTGCCAAGTTGTCCAGGCGGGTCTTGAACCCGTGGGCTCAGGCAATCCACTCACCTCGGCCTCCCAAAGTGCTGGGATTACAGCCTGAGCCTCCGAGCCCGGCCTACGTCCAGGTTTTTAAAGAGAGGGTTGAACGCCGTTTGAGCACTCAGAGGTGGCTAATAAAATGCGGGGAGGCCGCGCAGCAGAGGGTGGGCTTGCCCATTTTCTTGTGCAGCGCCATCATTGTGCGACTGGACATTCTAGAATGCTCCTGGAGAAGCTCCAGAAGTGTCCACTGTGACGCAGCCCTGCCAGGTCCTCCTGTCCCTTCTCTGACAGCGCTCTCTTCCTGCTGTGGGTGTTTCAGGCTGGCCCCTTTCAAAACAGCCACAGATTTGAGTGACTTCGGCTCCTAACTTGACCGGGTTTTACTTGGCTCGGTCCCCCAGAGTTACATGCAGCCTGCTTTCGTTTTACAGGTGTTAAAACCGGGTAAAAGGGTGTTATTTCGAGACTACGGGCTGTATGACCACGCCATGCTGAGGTTCAAAGCCGGCAGCAAACTTGGAGAAAACTTCTATGTCCGACAGGACGGGACCAGGTCGTACTTTTTCACGGATGGTAAGATGAGTGGAGCCTAGCCCTCGCGCATTCTGTCTTAGTTTCCGGATGTCTGATCGCAGGGTCACTGCTGGCCGGTGGCTTGCAGCTCAGCAATCGTGTGCCTGGAGCCCTGGAGCAAGTGTCCAGTGAGCGTTCACAGCTCCTGGGCCCCACGACCTCCCTAGCAACAGCGCCGCTCATGAGTGACCTGGGCTGGGGCAGGCTCTGGCCGGCGAGAGGGTGCGAGTTCAAAGGGAAGCAGGCAGAACAGTGCAGCGCCCTGTTCTGCCCGGGCCATGGCTGGCCGCCTTCCCATGGCCCGGGCAGAAGCCTTTCTCTGCAGAGTCGGCTGGATCTGTTTTTAGCTACCCGCATTTACTAGCTGGCTGTAAGAGTCACTCTTGGTGAGCAAATGCTGGACGTTCCTTCAGTCTTTTGGGTGTCCCTGAACGTCAGTTTTCAGTCTGCCTCATAGGACCATGAGACAATCACCTGCGTAAGCTCTGCTTTTACAAATGACTTTATCTTCTGAAATGAAACGTCCCTTTGGGTACTCAAACATGGGAGAGTCAGGTGAAGGCGAGGGGTGGCATTTGCTTCGGGTCACAGCCCTGACCCTGTGGCGGGTGCTGACGGGGCCAGGGAGGCCATGCGCACTTGCCATCCCGGGCAGCGCCCTCGGCTGCGGCTTTGCTTTTGCAGGCGCTGGTTCTGCTTGTCTGCCGTGGGGCCGCTCCTCCGGGGGTTTCCCACTCTGGCCACAGAGGCTCATCCCCTGTGCTGGGGGGAGGCCCTTGCCGGGCGGACTGAGCACCCCGGCCCCGGTGGCTTCCTCAGTGAGAACCGCGCCGCGCGAGGCGGCCACACGGGCGCCCGCCGCTCTCCGACCGAGGGCTGAGTTGGAGTCGTCTGTCTGGGTGTGCGACCAGAAGTAGGAAGGGCCTTCCTTGAAGCTCCGCGGCCGCAGCCCCCACGCTGGACGTGGGCACAGCGGGTTGGCAGGACTGCCGCGTGTCTTGCAGGGTTCCTGGCGCGGCTCTTCACGGAGGCGGGCTGTGAGGAGGTGCTGAGCACATACGTGTTCCGGGAGACGGTGAACGAGAAGGAAGGCCTGCGCGCGCCTCGGGTGTTCCTCCAGAGCACCTTCCAGAAGCCTCTGCGGAGCGCAGCTTCGGGGCCGCGCGGCCGGGTCCCACACCCTGGTCCCTCGTAGGCTGCACCTGGGCCTTCCCTCGCCTGGGGTGGTTGGGCTTCTTGTCTTTATGTTCTTATATTGGAACTTTTGTAATGAGTGTGCACAGTGTGGGTTTACTTTCCACAAGTCGGTGACCCGCGGCCAACCGGGTAGGTTGCCTCGTTAATTTCGGATATTTTGAGAGAGGCCATGTTCACAGAATTTTTGTGGCCACACTTTGGTAAACTTGTCCCATTTTTATCGTTGTTGTTAATCTCTTGCTGTGCCTGACTCATCAGCCAGACTTTCCCACAGGTGTGTCTGCAGAGGAAAGCGGTGGTGTGTGGACGGTCAGGGCCTGTCCACGGTCAGGCATCCACGAGGACCTAGAACATGTCCCCATGGATAGGCAGGAGCAACTGTATGACTTCTGTATTAAAAAGTAACAAGCGCGTGTGTGTGTTGAGTGTGAGTGTTATAGAAATGCAAATAAAACTCCAAGGCCTGAGAAGTAAAGTCTTGTGGTATACCATTATTATCTTGAGATGGGTCTCACTCACGGCTCACCACCACCCTGACCTCCTGGGCTCAGGTGGGCCTTCCTTCCACTTCAGCCTCCTGAGTGACTGGGACTTCAGGCACACACCACCACACCCGCTCATTTTTGCTTTTCTAGAGAGGCAGGGTCTCCCTGTGTTGCCCAAGCTGGTCTCGAACTCCTGGGCTCAAGCATGCTCCCGCCTCGACCTCCCAAAATGCTGGGATTACAGGGGTGAACCACTGCACCTGGCCTCTGGAGTGACATAATTTAGCCTTGTTGATTGCTGTGAAATTCCACAGAGAAAGGCTTGAGGACCTGTGGCACTTAGATCCTTGTCGTTGCTTGTGTGACTCCGTGCTTCTAGGCGGCGTGTCACAACCCTGCAGAAAAACAAGGCCAGAGAGACTAAAACAAGCCATTTGTGTGCATTTTTTAGCCTGGACAATCGTGCTCTTCCCAGTGTCTTGCATTTGCCACTTTTCTCCCTTTGGCCCATTTCTGTGCCTCCTGAGACTAGCATCCCCGACCCCTCTCTGTGGGGCCTCACTCCCTCTTGAGATCCCTGATGCCCGGCCCAGTTCCTGGCTTGTTTGCCCCGGCGGAGAGGAGTGGGGAGGCCACTACTGGCCCTCCCCCTGCCTGGTGTGCAGCTGGTGGTATCCAGTGAAGAGGAAGGGGGTGGTAGAAGGGACCGCCCTGGTGCCCGTGGGGACTCGAGGTTGTGGCTGGGGTAGACGCTCCAGTCACGGAGCGCGGGTTATGGAGCGGGAGCCCCTGGCCTGGCTCCCGAGCGCTGCCGCGTAGTGACTTGGCTTGGCGACGTCCCCTCCTGTTCCTGGGGTCTGGTTGCCAGAGCTGGTCCTCCCTGCGGGAGCCGTTGCAGGGCACTGCCTGGGAGCGCGAGAACGCACTGGCAGCAGGCGGGCCCAACCCCAGCCACGGGTGGCAGGAGGGGTTGGGCAGGGCTGGTCAGTCGCAGTGACCCTACCCAGCCTGCGCCTGGGGGAGCGTGAGGTGGGCACAGGTGGCTGGGCGCCTGGCTCCGCCATCCTCCTCCCCCTCTCGGGCTTTCTCTTCCCCCCTGGAGGCCGGAAGGGGCCGTCCCCGGTGAGAGCAGAGCTGCTGGAGAGCTGGTCCTCCGTGCTCTCAGGCTCCCAGGGAGGAGGGCGGCCGAGGGAGGCCTCACCTTTCCAGGATGGAGCAGCCTCGGGTGCCCCCGCCTGGCCCCGCTCCCCCTGGGCCTCTGCCACACGTGTCATGGCCACGACAGCCCTGCCGCCGCCACCCCGCGCAGAGCCCGTTCTCCTTCAGGGGTGGCAGGGTGGAGCCAGGCTGCTGGGTCAGGAGCGGGCCGCGTGGTGTGAGGAGACTGGCTCTCAGGCGGGACACTTCTGAGCTGCAGCCCCTCCCTCAGCCTGCTGGAGCCTCCTCGGGTGGCAGCGTCGGTCGTGTGACCTGGAACGGCTGGGGTGGCGGGAAAGGTCAACACGCGGCACTCGGGCGTTGGGCCTGCGCTCTCTCGTGATCGACGTTTTATTGGAGCTCAGCAGGGTGCGCACGTCGCAGGTGTTCGGCTCGCCCGCCAAGCGCCTGCACCGCCAGCACCTGGACCCTCCCGCCCCGAGCTGAGCACTGTGCTGACTCCTAACACCTCAGCATTTTAAAGTCCTCCCTGGAAGGGTTTAGGAACAGCTTATAAAAGTCCAAAAGTTGCAGCAAGATTTTGAATGAGGAAATTGGACTGGAGGAAACGATGGGGGGGGCCAGGAGTAGGGCCAGCAGGTGGACTCGCCAGAGGCGGCCCTGCACATCCGGTGAGGCCCAGGCATGGCTTCCTCGTGGTCAGTGCAAAGAGGGAAGCGAGACCAAGTCAGACTCCAAGAGCCGGGGCAGCTGCCCCTTGAGGTCCAGCGAGCTTTTCCTGCCGTTCTCAGCGAGCACTGGGAGGCCGCACGTCGCCCTGGCAACGCCGCCCTCAAGCCTGGTGTTGGCGCCGTCAGTGCCGGCATCGGCCTGAGGCCAGAGGACGCGCCAGCCGGGTGCTCGATCTTCGGTGGAGAGGACGGGCAAGAGGTGGCCAGGGGTGGGGGCTCGAGTCCTGGGTCCTAGCAGCCCATCGGCAGTGCTCCTGGCGGCTCGCCGGGAATCACGGGGTGCGGGCCTGGCCCTCTGGCCACGAGGCAGGTAGGAGTGACGGGGAAAATAGGCCACGAGTCGCTGGCTCGAGACCATGTTTCCGCAGGCCAGGCGTGCTTAAAGCGCAGCTTCCGTCCGCTGTCTGAGTGTCCTCGTGCCCCTCTCTGGGCACCTTCCACAAGCGCACCCACGCGAAGGCCGCCGTGGCTCGGAGGCACGACCTGGGTGCCCGGGGACCCGGGGGCAGGGCCAGGGTCGGCTGAGGCGCAGGCTCCCATGGCGATGGCGCCGTGGGATCGCGTGGACGCCCAGGGGCCGGTCTGGAGCGCCTTGTCTCCACAGCAGCCCGGAGCGTGGCGGGTGCTGCCTGGAGGCCCTGAGGAGACAGCGCAGGCCCATGGCTGCCTCTGCTGGACGTGTGCTTGGGGCTTATGACACGCGTGACACTGCAGAGCGCGGTATGGCTGCCCCATCGCGGTTGCGCAGCCACAGGACAGGACGTGGAGTGTGAGCACGGGGCCCGGCCAGGACTTGCCAGGGCAGGTCGCTGCTTCCCTGAATCTCAGCCGCCCTGTGTCTGAGACTGAGGCCCTAGGACCCAGGACCTGGTGCCTCGGATCTGCAGCTGGGATGAAATGAGGTCGTTCCGTGGAGCGCTGTGTTTCCTCAGAGATGCCGTCACATGCGAGTCCTTCCGTTGTCCCGTATTCCCCCAGAGGACGACCTCTCCCGCCACCACCGTCATGGCCACATGGCAGGACAGCCCTCAAGCCACGGCTGGGGGCGCTGCCACAAGGGGGCGCTGGACACCCAGCATTGTACTGCAGCCGCGGCAGCGGCGTCTGTTTTTACCCTCGTTGAAGAGGAAGGAAACTGCTTGTTCTGAACGTGTTTTCTAGACCAGCCTTAGTGCGTGAGGCCCACCTTGGCCTCGCCATGGAAACAAGGAAGCAAGAGGGGTGCTTCCTCCCTGCGGTTGACTTTGCCTCCCGAGAGAGCTTGCGATCAGCTAAGTTCAGTGCTGTTTGCCGGCAGTGTCCGTGGGCTCTGAAGGCGTCCATGCGGCCCAGGAGCGCGTGCGGGGTGTGTGTTGCTGGACACCCAGCAGGATCCTCCTTCTTCCCTGTGAATGAGTAAGACAGCACATAGCTGCCACCCTGCTCCCAAGTGGTTCTGGACTTGCTGGGATCGTGGCCACGCCGGAAGGGCCTGCAGCCGACGCCTGCTGCGTGCGTGCTGCCCGTGGTTGCCTCTGCCAGCGTTTAGTTCCCCATTCCACAGTGGTCAGCATGGAAGGGAAATGTGGAATAAACCAAGGAGGCCAAGAACGCTTTTGCAGGGCTGTGTTCTCTGACAGGGAGCGAATGTACACTTAAGTAAGTTCTGTCAGTGACGCCAAGTGTCGCATTAAAAACAGTTTTAGCCAGATGTGGTGACTCATGCCTATAATCCCAGTCCCAGCACTTTGGGAGGCTGAGGTTGGAGGATCGCTTGAGCCCAGGAGTTGGAGGCTGCCGTGAGCTGTGACGGCACTACTGCAATTAAGTGGGGGGCGGAGGGTTAAAAAAATAAAATGAGTTAGATGTATTTTCACTTCCCTGCCTGCCCTTCTCACATGCGAGGCACTTCCTGAAACCGTTCAGTGGGCCTGGGGTGCAGGGCGCTCGGAGTCACTGGCTGGAGTGCAGAGTGGGGAGGGCAGAGTGGGCACGGGCGGGAAGACTGGGAGACGGCTCAGCGCGCTCTGAGCCAGGAGGAGGGAGCTCGGAAGCCAAACGCACACACCCAGCGCGCCAGAGGAAGCGGAAGGGGAAGACGAGCTGCGGAGAACGTGTGTGTGACAGCTGTCACCGGCACGCGGAAGGTCATTTCCATGCGTCCACAGCAGAGACACCCCGTTCTCTGGACGGGGCACAGCAGTGGGGGGCGAGGACTTACACACGGCTCCAGGGCACTTGCCAAACGTGTCTGGATCACGCAACGAATAGACCGTCCTGGAGCAGCTCTGAGGGAAGGCCCGGCCGGCAAGGAGGACTAGAGTCCACGCCAATCAGAAACAGCCCCCCGGGACGCCAAGATCTCCTTTCTCGCCTGTCACACCAATAGTTTGAAAAATGATGACACTCAATGTTGGTGAAGGATTGATTCTAGGGGTTGATCATGGAGACGCAGAAAGTGTGGTTTTCTGGAACTTTCCGCAGCGATGGAAATGTTCTCTACCTGTGAAGCCAGCGTGGCAGCCACCAGCCACATGTGGCCGCAGAGGGCTGATGTGACTGGCTAGTGCAACAGAGGAACTGACGTTGTAATTACATGAAATGTATCTGTTAACAGCCATGTATGGATGGTGACTACCGTGTTGCCCAGCACAGGTCTAGAACACAAGTAGCCATCATGTGTTAAATGCCTCACATCTACGGTCAAGCTTTGATCTGGAGTGTTTTATAATCCGGTTTAGGGAAATATCAGTGGGGTTCATACAAAGACTTTTTTGTTTGTTTGTTTGTGTTGGAGTCTCACTCTGTCGCCCAGACTGGAGTGCAGTGGCCGCTCCCAGCCTTCCGATTAGCCGGAATTACAGGCGCGCGCTACCACGCCCGGCTAATTTTTTGATTTTATTGTAGAGATGAGGTCTCACCTGCCCAGGCGGGTCTCGAACCCGCGGGCTCTGGCAGTCCACTCACGTCAGCCTCCCAAAGGCACGGGATGACAGGCTGAGCCACCGAGCATGGCTCATACAAAGACTTTTATCATGGTGTTATTCAGAACAGCAGAAAGGTGGCCACAGCTTAGATGACTAAAAATAGGAGACTGGTTATAGCAATTGCAGCATGATAGG